GTGGGGGGGGGGGGGGGGGTGTTTGCACTTCATTCACAAAGGTCTGGAAGAATATGCACGTAGCTGTTTACAGTGTTTTCCTCCTAAATAAGTTTGAGGACAGGAGATTCAAAGGGGGAAAATAACACCTTTCCTTGGAGAGAAGAATGAGGGAAATGTAACTTTTCTTTATACTCTTCTATTGTATTTAAATTTTTCAAAAGGTGTATTTTACTTTTATAATTAAAGAAACAAAAAGTTATCAAAATGTAGATGGTGGGAGAGCTCTGGGTGGTCTCTAAAATGGGAAGAGGGAGAGTAAGAGTCAGTCCCCGTGTCTCCATGTGCCGATGAGGACAGGAAGATCTGACACTGTGGGGCCTGCAGGCTTCTTTATCACAGAAGGCTAACAAAACTAGTTTAGATTAATTTAAAAAAAAAAAAAGCGCTGGAAAGCATCCAACTCCTTTCATACTCCTTTCACTCTGTTCACTTTGTGCATCCTGAATAGCCCCGGGTCTTTGGTGGGGAGTGGGGCAAGCTGGATGGCAGGCATGAATCATTCTCCACGAACGAGGCATATCCAGTACCTCAGCTCTCCCAGCTCCTACAGATCACAGTTCCAAAGCTTGATTGAAATTGAGCTTCTGGGAAATATGATCATGTGAAAACAATTAAAAATTTTGTTTTCAAGATAAGAAATTGGTACAATGCTTCTCCTTAGACAAGTTTATGAAATGAAACTGACAAGGAACTCTTTTCTGCTCTGGGTTCTCAATCCTTTAGTACAGAGACCCACACCCTCTTCTCTCCCCTTTCCTTCACTTGCCATCCCTTCCTTCAACCCTCTTAATCCCATTATCTCCATTCACACTAAAATTGTCAAATTAATAGTTTATTTTTTATTTATTTATTTTTTTGGCAGCTGGCCAGTGAGAGTATCGAACCCCTGACCTTGGTGTTACCAGCACCATGCTCTACCCAAGTAAGCTAATGGGCCAGCCCTACAAAGCATTTTTAACTTAAGAAGTTAAGTGAGACTATTGGAAATTTAAAAAGCAAACAAGGGTTCTCTCTTCAGTATATGCACTATTAGGAGC